GTGTGATATTAGCCATGGAATCAGCAGCATCTGTACCCAGACGAAGCAGCTGGGTGTCTTCATAAAAACTGTCGTGTGCCGTAATTTGAGGTATTGTTTCTGACTATATAGCCTCCGAGCTGGCTTTCTCATCCTCCCAATTATTTAAAGAATTCTTCTATACTCTATTAACAAAAATCCTTTTTTTTTTTTTTTTTTTACTTAAACCAGTTTTTGTTTCTTGAATCTTCATTTTTTTTTTTTTAAGGTGGTTTTGTTTTGTTTGAGAGGGAGAGGGAGAGAGATCACAGAGGGAGAAGGAGCACCACTGAGCAGGGAGCCCAATGTGGGGCTTGATCCCAGGACACTGAGATCATGACCTGAGCCAAAGGCAGATGCTTAATTAACTGACTGAGCCACCCAGGTGCCCCTTGAATCTTCATTTTGACCAGATTTGTCCACAGGCACAGCTTAAAGGGGGAAATGTTGGTCCCTGCCAAGCCTCTGTAACCTTTTCCAGACCAGCCAGAGAGCTCAGGTACCAAAACCTGTTCTGATGCCCAATCACAGTATAACTGAACAATAACTTATAGTGTAGAATAAGGCTAGATCTGATTTGAATTAGATTCCAGTCTCCACCACAGCTATTTCAGGCCCCAGCCAGTTGGTGGGAGCCTCGCTTAGCCTCCTAAAATCACCCTCCTTGGTATTTCTCTTCCTCCCCATCTCACCTATGAGAAGGGCCAGAGGGGCAACTCTCAGCTGGCCCCTTTCCAGCCTGGATAGACACACTGTGCTGGAGGAGAAGGCATCTTGCAGATCCTGGCCACAATCTGCAACAAGGCTGTTGCACTCCAGCCAGTTGCCCTACGTCCCCACTCCTCCTCACATAGAAGCCGTACTGGGACGACTTGGGACCACAATGGCTGTGCTCTCCACGTGGTCTCCAGAGGTGATGAGGATCTCCGAGGGCATCAGAGATTGGATACGCTCTCCTTTGTCTGGGATGTTGGAAAGGAAAGAGGAGTTACTTTTTAATCCTGGAATGAAAGACTGGAAAATATCTTCTCCTGCCCCTAGTTTTGTCCCTCAAGACTGAGAGCCTTTTGTGCCAGTTCCAGTGTGGACAGTATTCAGGCATCAGGGTGATCCGCCTTTCAGTATCTCGTACCTCAACCACCAACGCCTCCCTGTGGCCGGTCATAGAATATTCAAAAGCCTGGAATGGACCCCATTTACAGGTGAGGAAAACCAAAGCTTAGGGGTTGGCTTGCCACCTCAAGTCTAAACTCTACCTGGTTTCCAAGAATGTCTGTAATCAGGCCTCATTCTACCTTTCTAGTCCTTTCTGCCTTCATGGTAGTAGTCTTCAAATTTTTTGCCTCTATTCCTAAAAGAATATATAACTATGCAGGTCCTTGCACATTTTTAAGGTGACATCTAATATTTTTTGCCATTAGTTTAAAACTTAAAATGTAGAGAATGAATGTCATTTCTACTATTCTATAAATATTGACATTTTCACATAAAACTGTGTTACTGCCCTTTTAAATGTATTGAATAAGACCCAAATCCCATAGTGATGTGAAGCTTACCATCACCCATCTTAAAAATACATGAAGAAGCTCTTCTTTATCAATAAAAAATGTTACATTGTCTATTTTTCTCCTTGTACTTGCATTTCCATTCCACCTTCCTCTCAAAAATCTGATCAATGTAACATATATTTTGCTTGTCTTTTATTGATTACTGTATTGTACATCTCTGCAACCAAAATATGTATATACGTTGAAATTTAAAAAAATTTTTTTTTTGGATTTTATTTATTTGAGAGAAAGAGAGCACGAGTGGGCAGAGGAAGAGGAAGAAGCACGCTCCCCACTGAGGAGGAAGCCCGATGGAGGGGCTCGATCGGGGTTGGGGGGGCTTGATCCCAGGCCTCTGGGATCATGCTCTGAGCCTAAGGCAGATGCTCAACTGACTGAGCCACCCAGGCGCCCCAAAATTTAAGAAAAAAAATTTTTTTTAAGATTTATTTATTTATTTATTTATTTGAGAGAGCGAGAAAGAGAGAGAGTACATGAGACGGGGGAGGGTCAGAGGGAGAAGCAGGCTCCCCACTGAGCAGGGAGCCCGATGCGGGACTCGATCCTGGGACTCCAGGATCATGACCTGAGCCAAAGGCAGTCACTTAACCAACTGAGCCACCCAGGTGCCCCAAATTTAAAACAATTTTAAGTTTCATGTAACTATAAAACTCTGAGAAATTTTTTTCTGGTTTGGCCATTGCAAAATTAGTAATACACAACTGATCAAAACAACATAAATACTATGATTTTTATAAGTATTACACATAAATACAAAGGATACATTGGAAATGTATTTTTTTTTAAGATTTATTTATTTTGAGAGAGAGAGAGAGCATGAGCGGGAGGGGCCGAGGGAGAGAGAATCCTAAGCAGGCTCCGCGGAGCCTGACGCTGGGGCTCGATCTGATGACCCTGAGATCATGACCTGAGCCAAAACCAAGAGTCAGATGCTTAACCAACTGTGCCACCCACGTGCCCCTAGAAATGTATTTCTTTTTTTTTTTTTTTTTAAGATTTTATTTATTTATTTGACAGAGAGGGACACAGCGAGAGAAGGAACACAAGCAGGGGGAGTGGCAGGCAGAGGGAGAAACAGGCTTCCCGCCGAGCAGGGAGCCCAATGCGGGGCTCGATCCCAGGACCTGGAATCATGACCTGAGCTGAAGGCAGACGCTTAACGACTGCCCCCAGGCCCATGTTTTCATTTACACTTTATTTTCATTTCACATCAATAAGTAGATGGGAATTGAGGATTTTGATATAGCAGTGGCATCTAAATCTCAGTTGTTTACCAAAAAAAAAATCACAAAGATCTACTATGAAAAGATACTGTTAATGATTTTTCAGCTGACAATGCAATTAAATCCTTCTAGGTTTTGAAAGCAAAGATTTAGAAACCTCCTGACTTGAAAACAAAAAGAATTTATTGTCCGGCTTTTAAGCCATTCATTTTCTCAGCACCCACAGCCAGCACCAGAATTGCAAATTGCTGCTTTGTTTAGTGTTCCAGGGCATTCCGCCCCTCCCCCCCAGCCAGTCCACCATTGAAAGATAATGGGTGAGCGAGTGGTGAACCTTGTTACAGAAAGTAGGGAAGGCGGCAATGAAAGATGACAGCGGTTTTGGGTGCCTCAGTGGCATAGTCAGTTAAGCGTCCAACTCTTGGTTTCGGCTCAGATCGTGATCTCAGGATCATGGGATTGAGCCTCGTGTTGGGCTCCTCACTCAGTGCGGAGTCTGCTTGAGATTCTCTCTCCCTCTCCCTCTGCCCCTCCCGCTTTCTCTCTCTAAAATAAATAAATTAAAAAAAAAAAAAAGAGGATAGCAGTTTTGGTAAAGAGCACGCTTGGAAGTTGAGGATCTACAAATTGATTTTCTTAAAACTCCTTGTACCCTAGAGATACCCCACCTCCAATTAGAGGACCATTGACTTTCCCACCAGAGGAGGGATTCCCATCCAGAATCCAGATTTCTTGTGCTCATAGATGTATTATGCTTCTTTCTACTTAATGTTGTTTCCATGTTCTCCTACTCTCCTTCCTTATGAAAAATTTTAAGGGCCATTGTGAATCCCAGCCCCTACCTAATGCTTCCTTCCCTTTCTTCCGAATTCCTATTGCCCTTAGAGTTTGAAGCTCACTTCCCATCCCACAATATGCGTTGTGTTATACTGGTAGTTTTGTTTCATGACACTTTAAATAGACTGTAATGAAGTTCCTTGCAGTAGGGCTTGGTGTCCTTGCAAAAGCAATGAACTTTGATATCAGCTAGCACATAAGCTGCAGGAGGGCAAGGACTCCATCTGTTTTGTTCTGGGCCGTGTAGCCAGCACCCAGCCCAATACCTGGCATGTAAGAGCTTAATAAATAATTCATTGAATAAATGAATGGACTTGAGTTTGAATCTTAGCTCCTTCATCACTTTTAAGCTGCGTGACACCCAGTCATTCCTTTCAGAACTGAATCATTCAACAAGCACCTGTTGCAGGCCTGCTAAGAGCCAAGCATTGTGCTGGGCCCTGGGGATGTAAATTGAAGATATGTCCATGCCCTCAAGGAACTCATGCATCTGGTTATGGAGGCTGTTACATGAAGTGAGGTGGGAAGGACAGCCAGTGTGCAGGCCCAGGGGAAGGAAAAGGAGGGGAGCCATTAGCAGATCTATAAAGCAGAGGCATAGGAGGCTCTCCTGGGCTAGGGCGTCACAGGTCTCATGTGCCACATATGGGAACGTGAACTTGACCTGACCGATTAGATATGGGGCAAGATGGAGAAGGAGTTGAAAGTGAGCACACAGGAGGAGGATATGAAGGCCCTAGCTGTGGCAGTGGCCATAGCCATAGAGAGGGAGGGATAGCTATGAGAGAATGAAGGAGGATCTACCGGATTTCATGATGGGCTGTGTACCACGAGGGGTATGGGGGGGAGGAGCACCCTAGATTTTCAGAGCTCTGTCTTAGGTGACAAGGTCAGTGAGTCAAATAAAATGGGAAAAGAAGCGAGTTTGAAAGGCTTTGGGCAAGTCACCTGATCTCGCTGGGCCTCAGTTTCTCCACATGTAACATGAGAATAATAATATCCACCTCTCAGGGTTGCCACGACAATGAAATAACCAGGGAAACTGCAGGGCATAGACTAGATGCTCAGTAACCACTTCTGGGTGATACTAATAATAGTGCTTGCTCGTGGGCCGAGCACTTAATCCTGACAACAACTCTGTAAGGCAGGTACTATTCGTAGCCCTGTTTTACCAACATGGGAACTGAAGCACAAGCCGGTGAGCAGACTGGACCAAAGTCACCCAGTTAGTAAGTGGCAGAGTGTACTTGCCTCGCCCCTGCATTCCACTGTACTCTTTCTGGGACCTAGAACTGGATTTGAGGCAGGAAGAGCGAACATGGCAGGAGAGATGGACGGCAGACCTGATCAAGGGTTCATTCCAAGAGCAATTTTTATTTGGAAATGCGCCTCCACCACCTAGTGGCCGTCTGAGGGCACACGCCGTTGGCTTGCTTGTCTGCTCTCTTATCCAGCCCAGGGCACAGGGTCCTTGGGGTTAAGGCACAAGATCAAGTTCTCAAGGATCAACATCCCAGACAGCCTCAGTGGTCAGGGGCCTGGGGCTGGTGCCAAAAATGAACTAGGCTCCATTCTGGACTGTGTCATGGCTGGAGGGCCGAGGGGGCTCCTGGCACCAGGACTTCAGCTCCCTCTTCTGTGGGGGCTGGCATCACCCACAGGCCAGCTGTGGCCAGGTTCTGGTGGGTATGAGGTTGGAGGGCGGGAGGGGATAGCAGAGGCTAATTTTCTGGTGCTGGGTCCAGTTTGTCTTCCTGAGGGGTAGAAGCTGAGATGGGAGCTTCGTCCCCACCATTGAGGGACTTCTGCTGCTCGCTGCTGCTGGGCGAGGGGGTCCGGTTGCCCTGGGATCCCCAGCGGGTCAGGCGCTTTAGGGAGGAGTCACGGCGGGCAAGTAGATGTGGCTGGAAGCCTGTAAAGGAGCTGCTGGTGGTGGGACGCTTATCTGGCAGAGAAAAGGCAACTGCAAGTAAGGAGAAAGGTGCATGCGCAGGGGAGAGGTTGAGGGGCCTTGCCTCAGCCCGTGGGGGAGACGAGAACCTCCTTTCAATCCCACACGGCCTCTCTAGATCTGAAGGGATCCCTTTCTCCCTCCCTTCCCCTGCCCCACTCCAGAGAAAGCTCCAGGGTCTACCCCTTCTCACCTCCAGGCTCAATTGGATGCATGAGCCGGTTCATCTGAACATTCCAGTGTTTCACGTTGGTGCTGGCCTGGCGCAACTTCTGCTGGGCAGCCTGTGGGAGCAGGGCCAGCGGAGAGCGGGTCAGAGACACCATCCTAGACAGGGTATCTTGACCTTTTCGAGTTTGTAGGCCTCTTAGAATCTGACATCTCCCCAGGAAAACTCATATATGTTCTTAAAGAGTTATATAGATGAACAGTTAGCTTCCAATTTCAGGGGTCTCATGGACCCCCAAAGGGTCAAAAATAGTCATCATTATAGTTTCTGTTCATTAAGCAGCTACGATGTGCTAAGTATATTTATTATTTTAGTTAATCTCCAGAGCAGAAGTTAATAACAAAGTGCAAAAGAAGTTAAGTGACGGGGTGCCTGGGAGGCTTAGACGGTTAGGCATCTGACTTTGGCTGGGGTCATGATCCCAAGGGTCCTGGGATCGAGCCCCTCGTCAGGCTCTCTGCTCAGGCGGGAGCCTGCTTCTCCTTCTCCCTCTCCCTCTGCGTTCTCCCCCTCTCTCTCAAATAAACAAATAAAATCTAAAAAAAAAAAAAAAACATCAAAAATTAAAAAAACAAAACAACAACAAAAAACCCCTCTTCTATGGAGATCAGAGCCAAAGTACAGGGAGAGCAAGGTAGGCGCTTGGAAGAATATGAGAAAAAAACTTTGCCCAGATTCATAATAATGATAAAAATAGCAGCTAATGTTTCTTCGCCACTTGGTACATACTAAATGTCAGCCATCAGCTCCTTTAGTCTTCAGACCATGCTATTAGAGGCACCTTTCCCAGATGAGGGATTTGAAACTCAAGAGAGGTTAGGCAATTTGCCTGAGGTCACACAGCGGGGAGACGGAAGAGTCAGGGTTTGAGGGAAGGCTCCAGATCCTGCGCGTGGAGGCGCTCACCCCGCCGGCCTCCATCCTATCCCCCCACCCCCACCCCCGGCCTCACCTCCACGTCCTCGTCGGCCCTCTGCCGGTTCTGCCGCACCTCCTCCAGCTGCAGCTGGGCTTGCTGCAGGGAGCGGCTCTGCAGCGCCATCTCCTGCTGCAGCTCTTGCTTCTCCTGCTGCGCGCGCTCGATGTAGCGCTCCTGCTCCTCCTTCAGCTGCAGCAGCTGCTTCAGCTTCTCCTCCTCCTCCTCTAGCAGGCTGCGGGCGGGCGGGCGCTGCGTCGTCTCCAGAGCCAAGGCACCTCGCAGGCGCTCAGCAAGTGGGACGCCGGGGAGTCAGGGGAGGGGAACGAGAAGGGGTCCTACCGGGTCTGGGCTAGGCGCACGGCCTCCTCGTCCCGCCGAGCTTTCACCTCCAGGTGCAGGGCCTCCTCGAGCCTCTGCTGCATCTCCTCCAGCTCTTGGATCCGCTGCCGCTGCCGGGCAGCCTCCTCCTTCTTCAGTTCCATCTCGGCCTGCATGGAGGCCCGGGCCTGTGCCGGGACGCGGAGCCACGTCACTGGGGGCACCGCGTGGGGCAGGGGAGGCTGCAAGTACGCTGCCCTTTCCCCAGGGCTCCGCTAGGCTGGCCCACATAGATCTCTCTCAGTGACGGTCTGGGGAGTTTCCTCATGTCGGGATTCCTTCCTGATCTGATCTCTTTGTGGGAGCCTGACTAGGAAGATAATGGTCAGTGAACAGATGCTACATGGGGGGCGGGGGGCTCAAGTCACCCCCTGCCTAGCACCAGCCTTAATAATTATTATTATGTGTTATAATATTAGGTATTATGACTATAATTAGGGCTAGTGCTAGGCAGGGAGTGACTATAATTATAATAATTGTTATAACAACTAAAGGTATTTCCTCATTTGATCCTCACCATACCTCCAGGAGCACAGTTAGCATCAACACGTCACTGATAAGTGATTGAGGCACAGAGAGGCTAAGTAACTTGCCTGAGATCACAAGGCTCCTAAGAGGCAGACCTGGGATGGAATCCAGGTGTCTCTAACTCCAGCTCTAGATCTCTTAAATCCTAAATCTGATTGCCTCTACATGCCTAGTCCGCCTCCACATTCGTAAATCCCTCCTTCCTCCCATCCTGCATTCCCCAAACTGGTTTCACTGTAAACTTAGATCAAGTCTAGTCCAGTCTAGTCTAGCGTTGGTCCAAACTTATCCCTGACTAGGGGGTCTTTAGCAGCATCTGTCCAAGCCCCGCCCCCAGGCGAGGTCTCCAAACCAGGCCCCACTCTACACCTATAGCACTCAGCTACGGCCCCACCCCATCTTTCATCTCAAGCCATCCCTCGGCCAGGTTCCTGCACCCCCACGCCTTCCTCATCCCGCCCCTGGCACAGGTCCGGTCCCGTACGCGTGTTTCCAGTGCAGGGACTCTGTCCCAAGTCCCTCATTCCAAGCCCCGCCTCCACGCACCTCCTTCCCAGGCCCCGCCCCCGGCCCTCCGCTCCCGGGCCCGGTCTCTCCGCATCCCTCTCCCCCCGAGCCCCCCCGCCCCGGCCCCCGCCGGGTGCGGGCCCCACCTGCTCCGCCTGGCGCAGTTGGCCCTCCAGCGCCTGCTGCAGCTCGCGGTGCTGGCTGCGGCGTCGCTCCTCCTCCTCCTGCAGCAGGCACTCGGCCTGCCGCTGCGCCTCCTGTAGCAGCTCCAGCTCCTGCAGCTTCCGCTCCTTCTCCTCCTGCAGCTGCTGCAGGCGCAGCAGCTCTTCCTCCTTGGCCGCCCGGCGTCGCTCCCGCTGCTCCCGCTGCTCGCGCCGCTTCTGCTTCAGGTCCTTGTGCAAAGACATCTTCCCCTCGGCCTGCAGCCGGATCGCGGTCTGGATGGCTGCGGAGGGACAGGGACAGGGTCGGCAGGAGGCTAGCCGGGAGCAGCGCGGTCCTCGAGGTGGCCCACCTCCAGAAAGGGACCTTAGAGGTGGCTCGAGGTAGTCTCCAGCCTCCCGCTGGGCAGTGGGGTGACCCCCTTTTCACGGGCAGTGTTGTCACCCCCCGAGGCGCCGCCAGACCCAGGCGAGCACTCACCCGCCGTCCATTCCTGGCGCTGGCGCGTGTCGGAGGCGCTCATCTCGTACGTGCGGGAGGCTGTCTTCACACAGAACATGCAGCGCTTCCCCTCTCGGTCGGGCAGCACCTGGGTGAGGGCCGGTGGCCCCACACGCGCTGGCTTCACCGCCGCCGGGGTGCTCCAGCTCCATCCCCTACCCCCCCTGGCTGACCGTCCTCCCGGAGCACCGCTCCCACTCTGCCAGGAGCCTGTATGGCCCGGCGTGGAGGTTAGTTATGGGTGCGCTTGTGTCCCCACAAGTCTTGTAGCCTCTGCTCTTTGGAGGTAGGGCGGGGATGTTTTCATCTTGGTGTCTCTCCATGGGGCCTGGCACCTAATCCGTTACTGAGTGTGGATGCAGATCATTCGTGAACACTGCCAGTGACAGGGTCCTCACTCTCCAAATCATTCATTTCCACAGAGCCCTACCTGTTGGGAAAGTTCTCCATTCATTCATTCCACAGATATTGTGGAGTGTCTACTGAGTTTGGCTCATTGTTCTAGGCATTTAGGATACTGAGGTGTGCCTAACAGACCAAATCCCTGCCTTCCCTAAGCTTATATTTTAGTGGAAAATAACAGCTACCACGTATTGAGCTGCTGCTTCTTTTTTAAAAGATTTTATTTTTAAGCAATCTCTACACCCAACATGGGACTCAAAAACACACATGCCCCATCGACTGAGCCAGCTGGGGACTCCCGTGTGTTGAGCTTCTTATGCTCTAGAGGCTGAACGAGTGTTTTATATGCATCATTTTATTCATAACTCCGAAACAACCTTGCCAAACAAGCCTTATTAGCTCCACTTTACAGAAGAAGAAACTGAGGCTCTGCTAGGTCCAGGAAATTCACACTGCCTGTTAGTGGTGGAGCTGGGCTTTCTGCCTAAGATCTATGCTCTGTCCTCAGTGACACCTGTTTCCTTAAGTGACAAAAATGGAGAAAACCTAGGATGGCTATAATAATAATTTTTTAAAAGATTTTATTTGTTTGCAAGAGAGAGAGAGAACGAGTGGGGGGAGGGGCAGAGGGAGAAGCAGACTCCCTGCTGCGCAGGGAGCCTGATGTGGGGCTGGATCCCAGGACCCTGGGATCATGACCTGAGCCAAAGGCAGACGCTTAACCAACTGAGCCACCCAGGTGCCCTATAATAATAATTTTTAAAAATGTAAAATAACACATGTTGATGAGGATATGGAGAAAGTGGAACTCTCATACACTGGTGGTGAGAATGTGAGATGGTGCAGCTGCTACGGAAAACAATTTGGCTATTCCTTAAAAAGTTAAACATAGAATTACCATATGATCTAGCAATTCTACTCAGTATGTATCCAGAGAAATGAAAACATATGTTCACCCAGAAACTTCTGCATGGATGGCCAAACCAGCATTATTCACAATAGCAAAAAGATGGGAACAACCCATTGTCCATCTATGAATGAGTGGATAAACAGAATGTGGTCTGTGTACACGATGGAATATTATTGAGCCATAAAAAGGAATGAATTCCTGACCCATGCCACAACATGGATGAACCTTGGAACACTGTGCTGAAGAAAAGCCAGCCACAAAGGGACAAAATATTAGATGATCCCATTCCATTCTAGGTACCCAGAATAGGCAAATTCGTGGAGACAGAAAGTAGAATAGAGGATACCAGGGGCTGGGTAGAAAGGAGGGATGAGTTATTTCTTAATAGGTAGGTAGTTTTTCTTTGTGATGATGAAAAAGTTTTAGAAATAGATAGTGGTCACTCCCCCTGCTTGTGTTCCCTCTCTCTCTGTGTCTCTCTCTCTCAAATAAATAGAATCTTAAAAAAAAAGGGGGGGACGGGGCACCTGGGTGGCTCAGTCGTTAAGCGTCTGCCTTCGGCTCAGGTCATAGTCCCAGGGTCCTGGGATCGAGCCCCACATCAGGCTCCCTGCTCAGAGGGGAGCCTGCTTCTCCCTCTCCCTCTGCTGCTCCCCCTGCTTGTGCTCTCTCTCTCACCATCTCTCTGTGTCAAATAAATAAAATCTTTAAAAAATAAATAAATAAAATTTTAAAAAGGGGGGGTGCCTGCGTGGCTCAATTGTTAAGCGTCTGCCTTCGGCTCAGGTCATAATCCCGGGGTCCTGGGATCCAGCCCCGCATCGGGCTCCCTGCTCAGCAGGAGGCCTGCTTCTCCCTCTCCCACTCCCCCTGCTTGTGTTCCCTCTCTCACTATGTCTCTCTCTCTCAAATAAATAAATAAAATCTTTAAAAAAAAAAAAAAAAGAAAGAGTGGTAAGGGTTACACAACATTGTGAATGTACTTAATGCTATGAATTGTACAGTTAAAATGCTTAAAATGGCAAATTTCATGTTAGGTGTGTGTGTGTGTATTTTTTTCAAACTACAGTTTAAAATAATTGTTTTAAGCCTCCTAAAATAATAACAGACAGAGCCGAGGGGGAAAAATGGAGGGGAAGGACGGGAGGAGAGGGATGTAGAGAAAGAGTAGGGACATAGAGAGTTGCCAAAGGGAATGGGATTTGGGTGAAGGAGAAAAACTTTTCAAGAGGATTTTTAGAAAGTTCGCTGTGGGGGTACCTAGTTGGCTCAGTCGGTTAAGCCTCCGACTCTTGATTTTGGTTCAGGTCATGATGTCAGAGTCATGAGAATGGAGCCCTGCAGTGGGCTCCTCGCTGAGCGTGGAGCCTACTTAAGATTTTCTCTCGGGGCATCTGGGTGGCTCAGTCAGTTAAGCAGCTGACTCTTGATTTTGGCTCAGGTCATGATCTCAGGGTCCTGAGATGGATTCTCCCTCTCCCTCTGCCCCTCCCCTATCCCATGCTCTCTCTCTCTCAAGTAAGTAAATAAATATTTTTTAATAAAAGGATTCTCTCTCCCTCTGCCCCTCCCCTGCACTCCTCCCCCACCCACTCTCTTTCTCTCTAAAAGAAAAAAAGCTTTGTGTGTAGTGTGAGGCATAAGCCATCTCCTCTAAAATCCTTAGCAAAATCCACATTACTCACCAATGGCTTTAGTATTTGATTTGCAGTTTGGGTTTTTTGTTTTTGTTTTTGTTTTTTTTAAAGTGCTGGCATGGATGAGAATGGCCTTGAGGCACCCAGGTATATTTGGATTACAGTCATCTCAGCAGACATTTGCCACTGTGGCTTTTCTCCATTCACCCTCCTCCCGAGCCTCTTGCCTTTACACCACACTGGAGAGCCTCTGGGCCCTGAGTTGTGCTCCACCCCTTCGCCTGTCCCCCTCACCTCCACGCAGCATTGTGCATCCAGCGGGATTGTACCCCTTTTCTCCTTGCACTCTTCACTCCCAAAATAGCAGAGGGAGCTGGGCTGCAGCTGGAACCAGCGTTCTGCCCAGTTCCTCCGCAGGTGCCCTCGCTTCCACAGGTAGCCCTGCCATAGCCAGAGCAAAGTCAGAGGCTTCCCTACGGCCCCCCACCCCCACCCCCCGCTGCACCCTGACTTGGGGTCCTCCCCAAGTTCCCAGCTTGGCCTGACCTGCTTCAGGACATCTTGGATGAGCTCCTGGTAGACTTCGTGGATGGCCATGCTGAGAGTGTCCCGCCCCACACCTCGAAGACAGCGCCCCGAGTTGAAGAGCTCCAGGAACTGCCAGACGCTGAGCCCTCCGGTGGTCTGGGCTGCCTGGGCTTCCTGGGCCAGCAGCTCCTCCAGCTCACCCAAGCCCACCTCCAAGCTCATGCTGCTGAGCACCTTCTTTAGCAGGTATTCCACCTGGAGGAGCAGGGAGACCTGGGGACTGCAGCAGGCAGTGTTGCCTGTGACGATGCTGGGGTTGGGGGGGGCTCCTCTGGCTCCCAGAGCCTGGGCGGAGGTGACCAAGGACAGGGGGTAGGGGAGCCAGATGACTAAATGTTGGTGGAAACCAGGGTAGCTTTGGGGGGCGGGGTCCTGGAGGCCCAACCCCAATTTGGCATCCCCTTCCCCTCCCCAACTTCCAGGCCCACGTCCCACTCCTTCATGCTTTAAATTAAGGGCAGGGTGAAGGTTGAGGGCTGGGGGCCAGGCAGAGGCAGCAAATCACAGAACACGTCAGAGGGGGTGCAAGGGCCCTCTCATCCAATACCCTTACTTTGCCAATGACCAAACTGAGGCCCAGAGAGGGAAGTGACTCGTTCTAAATCACACAGCAAGTTGGTGGCAGCCAGAACTCGATTCATATCTCCTGAATCCCATCTGAGTCCTTATTCCAAGCCCAAGCCCCAACCCCGAGGATCCTTCCCCTATGGGAGTGCAAAGGGATTGGGGGTGGAGGTAAGCAGGGCAGGGACAGGAAACCTGCTACAGAGGAACAGGAAGTGGTGGTTGGGGTACATCCTGCTGCAGTTTGTTCATACAACATGTTGATCACGGCCGCGAGCAGCCTTCTGGCCTATGAGGGGCCCCCTTACCCTGACGGGCGGGGGTCTGACGAGGGTGCCTGTGCAGATGGACACACGTCCCTTTCCTGCCCCAGCAGCTTCCTGGGACACTCTCTTTAGGACTTTCATTCTGGAGGTTACTGGGTCTCCAACTGGGAGTGGGGTGGGGTACCAGTTCAGGGATTAGGCATCTCCCCTCACCCTTCCCATAAACAGAGGCAAGGAGATAATGCTGAGTGTGGTTGGATGTGTCAGGACTTCTTGTAAACACAGAGGACCCCCTCCCCTCCACACCCTAAGACCTAAATTCACCCTGGCATCTTTACAGTCACCAAAAGGGCTAACAGGTCAGGAGAAGGCTAAATGGATGGGGGAGAGAAGTGGAAGTGGCGGGGGGGCACCTGCCCTGGCTTCGTCCATGAGTTGAGGAGGTAGGGGCCCCTACTCCAGGCCTCTACTCCCAGGATGCCCTCTCTGGAGCCCGGAGCTGGGTCTGCCATTGGCTCTCCTCCATATATAGAAGACAGGGAGGGAAAATCTAGAACCGGGGCCAGATCTAGTTGCCTCCGCTGGAATAATGGGCCAGGCATCCCAGGAAAGTCTCCCTTCCCCTCATCTGGTAACCTTCTCGGATTGCCACAGTGCCTGAAGTCCTGCCATTCGATCTTAAATGTTTTCATTTTTAAATGGCCGGTAAGGTAGGGCGCCTGAGTGGCTCAGTCGGTTAAGCGACTGCCTTTGGCTCAGGTCATGATCCTGGAGTCCCTGGATCGAGCCCCGCATCGGGCTCCCTGCTCTGCGGGGAGCCTGCTTCTCCCTCTCCCCCTCCCCCTGCTTGTGTTCCCTCTCTCGCTGTGTCTCTCTCTGTCAAATAAATAAATAAAATCTTAAAAAAAAAAAAAAATGGCCGGTAAGGTATCAGGCTACACTGCTGTGTAAATAGAATCTGTGGTCATTTTCCTCCTTTGAGGGCTAAGAGAGCCCTGAAGGAAGTGTAGTTTTGGTTCTGCTGGGCACCGTGACTCTGATACAGGCAATTCTAGGCATCTGGAGACAGCTGGGTGGAGACACCAGCACGGGGAGACCAAGAAGAAAGGGGATGTGGGAAAGGCAATTTGGCCTCCTTCATGGCCCCAGGGATTCAGCCCCTGGAGCTGCCATCACCCTCACCTCATCAGGAACCATGATCAGAGGGTACTTGTCCTCAGACAGGAAATTGAACAGGCACCAGAGGCGGAAGGCATCCTCATTGGAGAGCATGCTGTTCCCGTTGCTGTCCACCCGATAGTTCTTCTTGGCCGTCAGGGTCCAGCACAGCTCATCAAAGTGCTCCTTAACGAAAGCCCCCTCCTCCACCTGCCACCAGGCCTGCAAGTCAGCCAAAACGGCCACCCCATCCATGCTCTACCACCAAACAAGGCTCTAGGTGCTTTCCTGGGGTCACCTACTCCCCTGCTCCCCACCCCGCCAAGCTGGGGCTCTAATTTGAGAAATCCCTGAGCTGCTTACCAGGTAACTAGCTGATTCCAACTACCCGCCCCCTCTCCCCTCCCCAGTCCCCTGCCAACAGAGAAACTAGTCCCTCAGCCCAGGGGAGAAAGAAGGGGAGGACAAGGGGGCAGGGATGGACGACCATGAAGAACCTGAGAAGAGAGTGACAGCTGGGAGGAGCAGGGAGCACAGCACTGGGTGATGCTGGAGAGCCCTACAGCTAGAAATGGGAGGTAAGCCTAGGCAGGGATGGGCTGGAAGGGTGCAGGCTAGGACAGAGGTGAGGGAGATGGAGGAGGGAGTTGGGGGGGCAAGGAGGGGACAAGTGGCTGCAATGTGAAGGACAGAGATGGGAGGGCAGGGATGGAAGTGGGAGTTGATAGGGTGGGAGGAGTTGGGGTGGCAATGTATTAGGGCGCTGGCCAGACTGGGAAGTGGGGAGAGGTGCCCCCTCAAGCAAGGCCCCACCTTGTCCAGGATGTACTTGTTGAGGTAGGGCATGTATCCCTGGCTGGACACGGGGCCGTCGTCATCATCCCGGAAGTGCTCCTCCAGAGCCACAGGGTCGTGGGGGATGTGCAGGACCGTGTACAGGTTGTGGGACAGCACCTGAGACAGAGTGGCAGTTGGCCTTCCCATGCCCCAGCCAAACCTGGGCTAGAGGGCTGCTCCCACCTCCCGGCTTGTCCCCGTTCCCAACCTGGCTAAGTCCTCCGCACACATTATTCAATTCAATCATAACCAAAACATAGGCATTTGTATACGATGGAATATTATTCAGCCATACAAAAGAAGGACATCTTGCCATTTGTGACAACAGGGGTGGACCTTGAGGGCCTTATGCTAAGTGAAATAAGTCAGAGAAAAATATATACCATATGATCTCACTTATATGTGGAATCTAAAAAAACAAATTAACCCTCCATCCCCACCCCAAGCTCATAGACACAGAAAATGGATTGGTGGTTGCCAGGGGCAAGGGGTAGGGGGTGGGTGGAATGGGTGAAGGAGGGTCAAAAGGTACAGCTTTCGGTTTAAAATAAGTCATGAGGAGGTAACATACAACATGGAGACTATAGTTAATAATACTGTATGGCCTATTGGAAAGTTGCTAAGAGTAGATCTTAAAAATTCTCATCCCAAGAAAAAAGTTTTTTAACTATGTATGGTGATGGATGTTAACTAGACATTGTGGTGATCATTTCACAATATTTACAAATACCGCATCATTATGTTGGACACCTGAAACTAATATAATGTTATATGACAATTATACCTCAGTAAAAACAAAAAAACCTAAAACTGTACACCCTTACTATGCACCAAGTACTGAGCTAAGCACATTATATATAATTCACTTAACCCCCATAACCACGGTTAATATCCCCATTTTACAGATGAGATAAAAGAGCTGGGATTCAAACCCAAGCAGCCATGTTCTCAGCCACTTCATTAGGTAGGGATGTCCTCTTTGTGCAGACAAGGACACTGAGGCTCAAGAGATTTGGTAAATTGCCCAAGATCCACAGTGAGCAAGAGTCTGGGATTCAAACCCAGCTCCGCAGATTCCAAAGCCTAGGTGCTTCCTAGGATGCTGGGCTGTCAACAGGGAGGTGGCTGTCACCCCAGGGCAGGAGCCCCGAATTTCTCATCATTCCCATCAAAGACTCAGGGTTCAGGCTGCAGTGTGTCTGCTCCAGGAAAGGCAAGTGCAGTTCCAGTCACTTCCCTTCAAAGATGAAGGGAGCTGGAGAGGGCTCAGAGAAGGCTCACGAAAGATGGTCTGTGACACGTGGAGGAAAAGGCCAGAACGGATGGTGGCCGGGATGGTGTGGAGGGGAAACACGAGTTGGTTAGCAAACTCACGATATAAGAACAAAGAAATTGAAGTCTGAACAAGATCAGGAAAAAATAAAATTGTCTTGGGGATACTTCTGTCATAGTACTTATCACAGAGTGAATAATTAAACTACTCATTCCTGGGGCACCTGGGTGGCTCAGTTGGTTGAGCGACCGACTCTTGATTTCTGCTCCGGTCCTGATCTTCGGGTCATGAGATCAAGCCCTACATTGGGCTCTGCACTGAGCGGGCAGTCTGCTTGGGATTCTCTCTCTCCCTCTTCCTCTGCCCCCCAACTCCCCTCCCCTGCTCGCACACACTCCCTCTCTAAAAAAAAAAATAAAATAAAAAATAAATTAAAAAGGTAAAATAGTCATTATTGCACACCTATGTGGCAGCCACTGTATGAGGTGCTTTCTATACCCCGTGTCTAACCTCCGCTACAACTGTGATACACAGACACTATCCCTGTTTTCCAGATGAGGATGCTGAGGCTTGGGGAAGTTCAGAGCCAACAGCCGAGCGGAGCTTGCAACCAGGTGTGCCTGGCCCTGAAGGCTGCCTCACTGTTACAGTGCTGACCCTGAGACTCTCTGCAGGTAGATGGTGAACTCTGGGGACAACCTCTCTGTTCATCTCCGTGTCCCATGGCCCCTATGTCCTCTTGTGCACCCGAAAGGCAGTCAATGAAAGCTGTGTGTAAGGGCTGCTTCCACAGTTAAGCTTAGAGGCAGTTCCTGAGGCAGGAGCTGGTAACATCCTAGAGGTGGTACACGAGCCAAATCTTCACTTCTTTATTCTCTGGTGAGAGGAGGTGGGACAAAGCATTGACACTTTTCCCCGGTATTCTCCTGAGCCTCAGGCTCCACTGAGGCCAAGTGGGAGGTTGGACGGCCCAGCAAGAGGGTGCTTCTCTTTTCCGTCACTCCCCTCTGGGCAGCCATCTCTGACCGCCACCCCCACCCTTGTCCCCATGCTCTTCAGATCATCTCCTGTGCCAGGTTTGGTTCTGCTTCTCTTGTTCTAGAAGACATCTTCAGTTTCTTCCTGACGAACTCGGCCCTCTCCACCCATATTTGGTAATGGAGCCTTGATTTTTCTTGGAGAAGCACCTCTCCCCCATTCTCAATATCTGTGGTATGGACTATTTGCACCCCTAACCCACTTGGCTGCAGGGCTGGGTACATCAGAGTCATGGTGATTGGCTCAAGGAAGGGCACATGACCAATCCTGGGCCAATGAGAATCAGCCCTATGATTTTTGCTTCCTCTAGTGGAAAGACCTATACCTTCCCCTGGAATTGTTAAGCTGTTGGAACGGAGATAAACATCTTCATCCTCCGAGCCTCAGTTTCATTGTATGCAAAACAGTAGGATAATACCTGTCCTGTGGAGAGGCTGTGAGGATAGAGTGAGAGGACATATGGAGACAGCCAGAATTAGATCTGCACAGAGCAAATGTTAGATCCCTTCCTGTAGACAAAGTGCGGTTTTTTACCTAACAAATTGACATAGATCAGAAGACTGATAACATCAGGTACTGAAGAGGTTGTGGAGAAATAGGGACTTGAATGCCCTACTGTTGAGGTGTGAATTGGTAATCTTTCTGGAGGACAAGAATGTATCAAACTTAAAATTGGGAATGATCCCAGCATTTTTTTTTTCAAGATTTATTTATTTCAGAGAGAAGAGAGTGTGTAAGCTGGGGGAGGGGCAGAGGGAGAGGGGAAGCAGACTACCCACTAAGCGGGGAGGGCTTGCTCTCCCAACCCAGAGATCATGACCTGAGCCAAACCAAGTTGGTCACTGAACCAACTGCATCTGCTCCACCCAGGCGCCCTGCCCCCCACATTTCTAATCATCTAACCTGTAGATGCTCAAGGGAACAGAGCTACATGTACAAGAATGTTCACTGAGGCATGTTTATAATATGAGGAACTGGAGACAGCTTGAGGCTCCTTCAGTAGGGGCCAAGTACATCGCGTCATGGACCTATGTGTGGTTGGAAAGATCTTATCCATCTGCCACTTGTGTGCTTACAGGCAAGTGATTTTCTCTAAGACCTTGGTGTCCTCTGTGAAGATAATAAGGAGGCCTACTCCAAAGGGTTTTTAGAATGAAGAGCTTAGCACAGCACCTAGTGTGTAGCTCATTGTTTAATAAAAGTTGTGTACTATTTTTATTATGTTTTTATGAACAGACATGGAAAGATAGGCATACTATACTGGCTGGTGAAAAAAGCAAGCTATAGAATGAAATGTTTGTAAAATAAATGTGTGCAAAGATTAGGTTGAACCATAGCAAATTTTAATAGCTGTTTTAATAGATTAAAATAATAAAATGTCAGCAATTTCATACGGTTCAGCCTAATATGTTTATGTGTACATAGAAAAAAATCTAGAAGACTCAGCAGACTGTTACCAGCTATCACCCCACCATCCTTCCCCAGGGAGGGGAGGAACTTTCATCATCTTTAACATTAAATTTGTCTTTGAATTTTTTTAACCAGTAACATGTTTTACTTATAGAATAAATTTCATCTTCTTTAAAATTATATTCTTCTGCACTCTGATTTTTTTTTAACCAAGAGCATATATTGTTTTTATGACAAAAATGTAAAATTATAGAGATAAAAAGCAAAGAGTGCCATTAACCACTGTTATTAATGTACCCTGCTATTAATTTGCTCTATAATAACATTCCTTTGCTATTCCCTTTTTGTGTGAGCATTTCTGGGTGCTCTACATTCCTTGAGGGCAGCAAGGACTCTAAGTTAGGCCTGATTCCAGATCTCAGTACGATATCCAGCACACGATAAATGTTTTTGACCGACTCCTCAAGTCTAACTTAAATGCTCCAATGGTTTCCCGTTGTTCTCAGAGTAAAATCGCAAGTCCTTCCAGAGGCCTTGGGCCCCCTAGGACCTGGCCTGCTGTACCTTCTCTGGCTTCATCCCTCTTGGTCACTTCTCTGCGGCTACTCTGGCCCTCTTGACATTCCTCAGCCGGGCCAGGCACACACTTGCCTCAGGGCCTTTGCACTTGCTACGCCTTCAGCCTGGACTATTCTTCTCCCAGGTCCAGGCATGGCACACACCCTCTTCTCCTTTCCGTCTTTACTTAGATGTCACCTTCTCAAGGAGGACTTCTCTGGACCACCTTATTTAAATCTATAACCCCATCCCCTCTACCGCCCCCCCCCAATCTCTATCCCTGTTTCTGCTTTATTTACTTCCATGTCATGTATCATTTTCCATCACATGATACATTTATACTTATTTTGTTTTCCATCTGTATTCTCTGACTAGAATGTCGGCACCTCGGGGATTTTGTCCCTTTTATTCACCTCTTATTCACTCTTATATCACTGGGTCTGGCACATAATGGACACGCGACAAATATCTGTTGAATGAACTTAAATGCTTCACGGGAAGAAGTAGGAGAAATACAAAAGGCAGACAGACATGGACTGAATCTCTCTGAGCAACTTAACCTCACTGGGCCTCAGTTTTCATAGGTCTGAAAACGGGGTTCAAAGAGATGCCATACAAACCCCCTCCCACCCCAGGATAGAAGAGGCAACACAGCCGCACAGTTATTTGATCTGTTCCTTGCCTTGGTTCGTTCGTCCACACTGTCCTCTAAGACCTGCCTTCCTCACCTGTACGTTTTGCCTCTGGAATCTCAGGGGCCCGGGGCAGAGGCTCCAATCCCTGTGAGCCATCAGGTGTCAGGACGTGAAGGAATTAAAGGCCCCAGACACCGGGGGCTCAGGGCCTCTCCCCAGAGAGCTCAGCAGACCTCAGACTGCCAGGCTTCCTGTGCCTGGGCTCGGGTTGGGGCTAGAGGTGGGGAGAGGGTGTGACCAGAGGAGGGTCACGCTGGAAAGGAAATGGCAGGGGTGGAGGCCAGAATGTGCAGGAGCCCACGGGGCTGATTTCAATCAATCCTCAGCCCTGGAGGCAGGGACTCTCATTATCCTCCTTTTATAGATGAGGAAATCAAGGCGCAGAGAGGTAAAGTGTCTTCCTGGAAGTCTGCCTCTAAAGGCCTACTCTTGATCTCTCCACCACATTAGCTCTTGCTGAGCCTCAGAATCACCTGGGGAGCTGCTGAAACTGATGGGCACTGGAGCCCCGCCCCTCCCGACTGACTCAGAGTTTCCAGGGGTGGGTGGGGTCCAGGTGTCTGTAGCTTTCACAAGGCTGCCATTGGGCTCCTTCAGAGAGGACTCTCACAGTCTCACCGCCCAACCAGGCAGCCCCTGACCTTCGAGTTGGCAGCCATTGACCTTCGAGAGGCTTCATTTACGCACTGTTTCCTCTGAAGGCATGTGGGGAAGTGGTTCTCTTCGAGGGGCTTGTGAGTTCCCTAAAAACTCAGGTGTGGAGATGGGGCAGGTGCCAGCTCGTGGTCCTGCAGTTCCCAGCCTTCACTGGACGCGTATATGACGGGTGTGGGAACCCATGCACAGCACCAACTAATGGCTACAGAGAGAATGAATAATCTCTCTCTTGCCTACATGGCCTGTAGTTTTTTTTTAATGTATCTAGGTGCCAGGTGATTTTTTTTTACAATATACAGATCCTTTTAAGAGTTACTAAATGTATTTTACTAAAGCATAACTACTATCACAAGGGAGGAGCACTGGGAATTTTAAAAGGTGGGAATCTCTGGATGAGCTGTGTGCCTGCTGACAGCAAGAAAAGGGCTAGAAGGCAGGGGGAGGGGGCGCCTGGGTGGCTCAGTCAGTTAAGCAGCTGCTTTTGGGTCCTGGGATTCAGCCCCGCATCTGCATCCTGGCTCCCTGCTCAGCAGGGAGACTGCTTCTCTCTTTCTCTCTGCCCCTCCCCACATTTCCTGCTCTCTCGCTCTCTCTCACATAAATAAATAAAACCTTAAAAAAAAAAGAAAAAGAAAAAGAAAGGGCTAGAAGGGGTTGAGGGTGGGCACCAAAGACAGGCTTGGAAAAGGGAAAGGGGAGGCTGCATCAAGGGTCAATTTCATCTACCTGATGTACTTTGTTAAAATTTCTTTTAGTAGGCTAGCTGGTGATCCCCAGTTCAACCCTCTGCCTTTACAGATGAGAAACTAGAGGTTCAGAGACAGCGATCACTTGCCCAACGTCATCTAGCTGGGGAGCAGGCCTATGTGGCTCTGAGTCAAGCACATCACTAAATCATCCCGTCACTCCCTGCCATCCTAGCCCGAGACCAGTGGCAGGAAGGGGTCAGAACAAAGTTGAAGATCGTGGGCTCCTGGGCGGCTCAGGTCATGATCCCGGGGTCCTAGGATTGAGCCCCGCATTGGGCTCTCTGCTCAGTGGGGAGCCTGCTTCTCCCTCTCCCTCTGCCTGCCGCTCTGCCTACTTGTGATCCCTCTCTCTCTCTGTCAAATAAATAAATAAAATCTTAAAAAAAAAAAAAGAAAAAGATAGTTAAAAAAAAAAAGCTGAAGATCCCAGCCAGCAGATTCCTGGACTGGAGCTGTTCTTAACTTCCCCTCCACCGAAGTGAAGGTTGTCATCCCCCTCCCTCCCTGCCCACCCTGGCTCCTGCCAATCAAGGGTAAGGGGCAGGCCTGCTGCCTCCTAAGAGCTCACTGAGCCAGAGACACACTGCTCCATCCACATCCCCAATCGCAGGGCCATTACCCCAATTCTCAGCTGATTCCCCACTAGGCCTGGAACCAAGGCTGCTCCCCAGGGAAGAGGATGTGGCCATTAGGAAACCCATGATTGCCAAGGCTCTCCTCCTTGCAGCCCTCTGGCAGGACCGCTACTCCCTCCCAAAGGTCTTTAGAGAAGGAGGTTCTGGGGACCCTGGGAAAACTCACAGTCCTCAACTCCTGGGAAATTTTGTGCTCCACCTAAATCCATCCTGGGCAGAAGTGCCATGCCTATTGGTCTAATTGTACTTTTCTCAACTCACCTGGACAAAGGCCATGGTACCTTCTACAAGAATTCAAACGGAGGAAAACCCATCTGCTCTCTCGCCCAAGCCTTCTCTTCCTCAGAGAGAAAATCATGACGCCTTGGGCTACTTCTCAGAGGCCTCACTGTTCTTCCTCCTCCCTCATCACGGCTTTGCCCATGAGAGCCAGTGGCAGCCCAATGCATCAGGGAAGCGGGGACTGTCACAGACAGACATAGCTTGCTGGGCTGGTGCATGTCTCACTGCCTGGTCCCAATCCAGGGCCCTGAGGCCAGGGACAGTGTTAGTGAGGACAGACTAACCCCAAGGTCTTTTCCCTTCTCCCACGAGTCTTTTCAGGGGTGGGGTTGGCCCCCCGCTGGTATCTCTCTCATCTGCTTCTTCCTCTGACTTCTGACCACTTCTCTTTTGCTCCTTTGCCTTTCCGGCATCCCTGCCCCCAACACTATCACTACTTCCTCCTATTCCAGTATCTCCCACTATGGTCTCAGGGAAGAACTGCCTTCCCTATCCTTCTCTTGTGTGACATGGGCCCTACCGTGTCTCTGCCTCACCGACCACCCGGCCCAAGACTCCCATCGCTTAGCACAGATTTCCAGAGTGGACACGTTTTCTGTTGAGTGGGGGAGAAAGCTCCCTGCTCCTGTGTGACCAAAGGCTGCTGGCCGTGGGCTCAATTTGAGCTGTGATGCGGTACAGACGGTGGACAGTTCAAGTATGTAAGCTCCTAATAGAATCTTCCCTGCAAGTACTCGACCTGTGGGGGTGGGGAGTGGGCATCGATCCAGCTGGAGGCCGAGAAAAGAGTTAGGAAGCCTTACTGGCTGATGGCACCAGGAAAAGGGGAACCACTTTCCACATGTGAGGGGTGGGCATAGAGAGCCTGGAGAGGTTACAGGGGCTGCAGGTAATGGAGACAGAAAACGGTACCTTGGAGATAAACTATGGAGGTTGGGATTGTTCCTACAAGATACGAAAGGCAGTGGGAGGTGGATGTAGGGCACGGGTTTCTGCAGGGCTGGATTTTGGATGATCTGCTGTTCTCCTGTCTATCCTGAAGCCCCCACTAGATGACATGATCTGCAATAAAAGGATTTACGGAGAATGTAAGGAAGAACCCGCCTATTGAGGAATCCTCCCTGATGATCAAAGGTAGTAGTGGACTATCTTTCCTGGGGGAGTCAAGAATCATTTTTTGGATGCTCATAAGTCTGGCTAAGGGATAGATTATGGGATAGGGCCAGTTTGGGATATCCAAGTTTATTGTGTCCTAGTTCAGCACAGGGGGGGGTTAGAATGGGGGTGGTGCAAAATGCCTATCCTGCCTTATTTATCTCTCCCACGTTTGCAGGCACCTCCTACCTTGGTCATTAAAAATGGAGGTTTCCTTGAGGCTGCAGGCCTCCTTTGGGGGTGCCCAGAAGAGAAACCAGAAATCTAGAGCCTAGCATCATGCCAGGCACATGGTCACTCAGTTAACATGTGAATGGAACGAATGATCCCCTAAGGCAGGTCACTGGAGAGCTGAGGCTTACCCTGCTCCTGTCTCTCAGTGTTCCCTGGTTCCAGTGGCCTGGGGCCTTGCTTCTTCCCCCACTAACCAGGCTGGAGAAGACAGCACTAAGCCAGGACTGGAGGGAAGGAAGGAGAGAAACTTGCTGGTCTCCCAGGAACTGTTTAGGTCCAAGTACTGAACTGTAGGGCAATCACTGATGGGCTCTTCCTGGGCTCAGATTCGACCCCCTCCCTGTCTGAGGTGCCAAGGCCAAAGGGAACAGTTTCCCAACCTGGCGTGTGGGAGGAGGGGGCGGCGAGCTGGGCGGCCCGGGGCAGAGCAGGGTCTCGGTCCTTGCCCCTTCCCAGCACTGTTGCAGCTGGGAGACAGGGTTCAGAGGAGCTGTTCTCTGCCAAAGGTGACCCAGTCAGCCTGGTCTGGAACTAGGACAGGCTCCTGAAGCCTCGCTCTCAGCTCCGGGAGGAAGTGACTGACAAGTACTAGCTAACTGTCTCTCTTCAAAGCCAGGAGGAAGCAGCAGGAAGGAGTACGGTGCGGACCCAGGCTTCACTCTGGGGAGACGTGTGCTCATCACACGGAGTATAGGATGTAGCCTGGCCTGTTGGCCTTCAAAACCTAATGATGCCACCTCCACCCTCCAGGGAGTCCGGGGGGCAGGTCTCTGGGCAGAGGCTCCGCGTCTACCTCCGGGGGGCCCCAGAACATAGGCAGCAGCATCCACCGGGCTGTGTCGTCCCGGTTACCCAGTCCCGGCTCCCCTCCCCAGGCCTGGGCCTCTGGATGGCTGAGTGCCATCAGCACAGCGTTCCTGCCTGGCTCCTGGGCGGCAGGGGCTGAGGAGGCACGTCTGCCGGCCTCCCCTGGGCCCTGGGGGCTCCTCACCTTGAGCTGGGACTTGGAGACCTTGCCGCTCTTCTCCACGTCCAGGGCAGTGAACGCGTACCAGATGGACTTGAGCAGCTCCTTGCGCAGGGCCATGGCTGAGGTGCCGCCCGGCCCGGGGGCGGCTCTGACACCGAGATCCGGTTTCAGGAAATGCAAACGGCTGCAGAGACCGCAGAGGGGCCATGGCGCGGAGCAAGAGCTCCACCTGCCTGCTCGCGCGGGCTCCCTGTGCTGCCAGGAGCAGGCCTGTTGCCCTTGCAGTGCTCATGGCCGCACTCTCTGCATGGGACCTGGGAACCCAGACCCGGAGAGCCAGAGCCCTGCTTCTGTTCGGTGTGGCTCCCCGGGCGTGCAGCCCTCGAGAAGTCTCCTCAGCCACAGAACCTTCTGGGGCTTCCTGGGCTCCCAGAGGCAGCTTGTTGAGGGGAGGGAAAAAAAAAAAAAAAAAGCAAGCCCACCCTGGCTTTCGGAGGGTGGCGGTAGAGGGTATCCTGTCTCACTTCCACACTTACCAGGCAGGAGGCCTTGGATGAGTTACTACTAACCTCCTTGAGCGGTTCTCTCAGGGGAGAGCTGGAAAAATACCCACCTCACACAGTCCTAAGGTCTGGGGATAGATGTGAAGCAGAGCAGGCACTGGATAAAACATTTCTTTTAGGGCCATCTAACATCACTGTGGCGGTGGGGCTCCTCCCAAGCGGAAGAAAACAAAGGCGACGACACAAAGTTGGCGGAGGAACTGGGCCAGGGCACCTCTCCAGGTCAGGCGGGCTTGGCACGTGATTGGTTGCCTCCCCATTCTCTGGGCTTTGGCTCGAAAAGGCCTCAGCTCGGAGCGCTGACCATTCTGGGGCCCACTGGCCCTGAGGATGCAGGCCTGTTTCTGAATCACACGGTGGGGGGAGGGGCATAAAACGGGGGGCCAGCTCTCAGGGTGCTGACAGCAGGAGGCTTGGCACTCAGGGCCCCCCACGGCATGATCCCTTTCTTTAGATCCACTGCCTGTGCGGGCCGGGACACGGTCTCGCCCAGAACAGTGGTCATGGATGTTGGAAGCCTGCTTGCGTAACCAAGCCACCTCCTCCCTGGGGGCATGCCCCAGCCCCCTCTGCTTCCACAGAGCTGCTGGCATGAGTACACAGAAGAGAGGGTACCTGGGCTTGGGGGAGGGTTCCATTCCCAGGTGGCAGGAAGGGACTGGGGCACATCCATCATCGTGGGGAGAGGAAGAGGCCCCTCCAATCCCTGCAACGCGCCCACGCCGGAGGCAAACCCAAAGAGTTCTTCCCATCAGGTCCCCTCCCCTGCATCCCTCCCTTCCCACCAGGGCTGGTCTGGTCCTCCCACACACTTTCCACTAGGGTCCAATGGTGGCTTTGGGATTCCACAGCATGGTCCCAGACACCTCCCTGTGGGCATCCCCAGAGCTGGGCCTTCAGCACCAGAGTCATCAGAGACCCTCGCTAACCTTGGCAAAGGCACCTCCTACCCCCACTCCTCGGTGGGGCTCTGCCCACTTGGAGCAGCTGACCATGGGCAGAGTGTATGTGGGAGGGGGCTGGGCGCGGAAGGGCTCTATATCACATGAGGTAAGGTAGGAAAAAACACAACCCCTCCAGTCCAAACATCCTGATGCCTCAGACCCAACCAGAGCCTGGAATCAGGGGTCACCCTGGGCCCGTCTGGCCACCCTGGAGCCCACCTGCTCAGGTGTGGGCAGAAGTCACCGGCGGGTCCTCGGGGCTTTTCTTACACCTGGGCTTCCTCTCCCCCCACCCCCGCCCCATGCCTCTGGTAGGCCAGTCCCACCAGTCTGTCACTGAGGCTCGGTGGGGTTGTGCCAGGGATACAGGGGCTAAGAGCCTGATTCGACCAGCCCTGGTATCCCAGGCCCAAAGCCGAAAGGAGGGAGGGAGGGAGGGACCCAGGTGGAAACTTGGAACTTTTATTAAATACTCATTCACCCATTTGCCCCCACCAACCAGAGCAAGAAAAAAAATTATCAAAATGGAATTTAAAAAAACAAACCAAAACAAATTAAACCCAGTCCCCAGTATGTACAAGGCCACTCCTCTGCTTCTCTGCCACCGAGAGGAGAGGGGGCAGCTGGGGGTGGGTGGGGCTGGGCACCTTTTCTCCAGCCACAGGCCCCTGAGCGGTTCTGACTATGGTGGCAGGAAACCCTGCTGCCAAGTGGCCAGGCACCATGGCAGGCTTCCAGGGAGGTGGTTATTGCTGGGAGGAGCAGGGCTGGGCCTGCTCTGCTCCTACTGGGCTGAAGAGCGGTCGGCCCCTTCCCCTGGTGGGCAGTGACCAGTCAGAACAGAGGACCAGTCCCCACAGCAGTCCCAATCGCCATCTGAGAGGGGGAGTGGACTGAGGGTAAGAAGGGTGTTCTCTGGAGGGAGGAGAGTGGGCACCCAGCTGATTCTGAGGAGGGGACACCCCAGTACAGCCTGGTGATCAGCTTGTCCTCTTTAGCTCCTGAGGACGGCACACTCCTCCGAGTCCAGCTGTGCAGCCCTCCTCTGGGGCAGGGCTCCCGTCGTCCCCTTCAGTTAGGCTGTTTTCCTGCCGCCGTCTCTCCCTGGAGACCTCTGTGGCCACCTGCCAAGTGTCGGCCACAGCCCCGGCCCTTGGAGGCAGGGACGCCTGTGTGGCATGGCACCTCCTCCAACGCGGTGTGGAATTCAGCCCCCTGGGACTCAGCAGCCATTCTCTGACTCTGTGGCCTCCAGGGTCACGGCCCCTTGCTGCATGGCAGCGGCGGCCACACTGATGGCCTCCTCTAAGGTCTGCTGTTCCTCCAGCTGCGGAGAAGACGGTAGAGATGCAAGGAGAGAGTGAGACTCTTCCCACCAGATTCTAGTGCTAGCGAGTATGTGGCCTACTTTCCTGAATCCCCTCCATTCGCCCAGTGCCACATCCTGAGCACTTAGTGGGGCCCCCACGAACGCTGACAGAGTCCCAGTAGGCTAGCTGTGGCCAGGGAGCCACAGAATGGTCCAGGGTCAGGGAGAGGGGCTTGTTCACAGAAGGGGAGGACTGGCTGGAGGGGACCTCAGTAATCATCTACTTGAGCCCACTTATTTTCCTGAAGAAATGGAGACACAAAGAGACAAGGGTTTAGACCACCAGATATGTTGCCATCGAAATTATTCTGAAGGCCGGAAGGGGCTTCAGCACTATGCTTCCGTCAAGAAAGCGCCTGAGACAGCTGTGTGGATGTAGCTAAAATGAGCTCTTTTTCGGGCTGAGTGGCCTTCTCTTCAAGATCTCCGTCTCCTTCCTCTCCGCTCCTTATTCCTTCCTTTCTCAGGCTCGGGGACCTCCACCCACCTGCACGGCAATGTGTGTTCCGTTGGCTGTGGCCAACAGTGCCACCTGTTGGTGATGAAGGGATGCTACACTTGAATCGTCGGCCACCACAGCCCCAGAGGTAATGATTGTAACCTGAAATATAAAAGAATGAGATTTTCTAACCCACCTACGTGACTCTCCCTCCCCCCAAGCCAAATAAAAATCCCTTCAAGCAAAGTGGCTGGGAACAAGCCAGAGGGGGATGGATAAAACCAGTATAGGTCAGACTAATTAGCATGGGGCTCGGAGCTTGGTGAGGTGGCATTTTTCTGGGAGCCAACTTAATTTAGGGATTTGGATTCACAGAGGTCAGAGCTGTCAAAGGCCCAGAGGTAATTTAATCTCATTTGAAAATGGACTGAAGTCTGTGGAAAAGTGACCTGCCTGTGGTAGCAAAGCAAGTTAGAGGTAGATCAAGATTTAGACACTGTCTCTTGACCCCCAGTGAAATGCTTTTCCAGAGGAGAACGGCTGATGGAGCAGAGGGGCTGTGGGGAAGACAGACCCTTTCTTTATGGGGGGAATCTTGGTCCCTGTAAGAAGGCTGGACGAGGTCAGCCTGCATGTTAATGCCCACCCCACAAAAAGGAAGGACAAGAGAACAAGAAACCCCAAGCAAACCGCCTGGTCATACGGGCTGCGTCTGGGTGCCATCAGCGCTGACCATGGTGACCGTGTGTGTGCCAGATGTGGCCAGGTCATCGTCCTCACTGGGTACGGTGAGGGTGGGGCCGCTGTGCTGGGTCACCATGCTGATAGCACTCCCCAGGGCCTGCAGGTCTTCTGGGGACAGGCTAACCTGCCAGCAGGAAGGAAGATGAGCTGGGAGTGCACTGGCAGGTTGTCCGAAAGCCCCTGGGTGGAGGTACCTGTGCTCGCAGACATGTTAGCTTCTGGAGAAGCCAGAAGATTTGCTTCATGTCACAGAGGGGGAGGGGGACGGGACAAGCAAGGAAAACGGGTCTTTGTTTGCCCAAAGGAAACACTAGAAGAATTCTGCTGATCACTTCTATTTACCATCACTTTGCCTCGGGGCTCTGTTCCATGCAGTTCGGGCTCTCGACCCAATTTCATCCTCATGGCAACTCCAAAAGACAGAGATGCACTTGACAGTGGGTGCTGACAAGGGTCTTATCATACTGCTGGCTAGAAACCCCAGGCCTCCAGACCCCACACCATGCTCTGGCCCCCACAACACGCCTCTCTTGAGGACAGCCAAATGTCTCACTCAAACGATAGGACCGTCAGCCTCCATGTAAAGAGGGAAGCTACTAACTGTGATCTAGAAGTTCCAGAGGCTGAGGTGAAAGCACGAGGAGGAGGGGCTGGCTGACAAGACTCGGGACCCTCAGCCTCAGCTCTCTGAGCTCCATGAGGCTAAAAGGTGAACCTGGGTAGGGGGTGGGGCTATCAGAACTTCGGGACCCCCCCAGAGAGAGTGAGAGAGGGGACCAGCCGCAGCGGCCCCCCCCGCCCCTCCCCCCACCCCGGGGCCTGTACCTGCTGGGCGCCGTCCTGAGTGATCAGAGCCACCCGGGGCGCCCCGTCCTCCTCGGCCACCATGGCCACTTGGGCTGGGATGTCATCGCCCTCTTCCTTCACCTCCGAGAGGTAGGCAACACGGGGGCGTTTGGGCGGCGGGCTCTCCTCGGTGGCACAGGCAGCTGGGAGAGGAGAGCCCGAGCTGACACCTGCCACCGGCAAGCCACAGGGAGGCCTGGCCTGGCCCCGCTCTCACCTCCTGCCCGTAGCCCTCACCGTCGAGCTGCTGCTGCTCGTACAGGGCCTGCTCGCTCTCCTCCGTGGCCTCCAGCTCGCCGTGGGCGCTGCGCTTGTGCATGGCCAGAGTGGAGGTCTGCCGGTAGGTCTTGCCGCACGCGCTGCAGGTATACGGCTTGCAGTGCGTGTGCACCACGTGGTGCTTGTACAGGCTCGAGTACTCGGTGAAGCGCTTCCCGCAGCCTGGGACCGTGCAAACGTATGGCTTCTCCCCTGGGGACACTGGGCTATGAGGGGGGCGGGAACTGGGGCTGGCAAGGGGAAAACTAAGGGGCCGGGGGCGGGAGACGGGGATTGGTGCAGGGAGACTGGGGGGGGGAAGGGAGAGGGACTGAGACCTAGGACTCTCAACAGACACAGCTGGGGGTGATGGCCAGCAGAACAGAGGGGACAGGAGTGTGGGACAGCTGAGCCCTGAGGGAAGGCTGGGGCGAGTGAAGGGACTGGTGGGAGGACACGGGGAGGGGCTCGTAAAGGTGAATGTTGTGAACAGGAGAGGCAGCAGATAGAGAGGGATGACTGACATAGCAGGGGTGATGGGGGAGGGAGGGGACACATATGCCGAGAGATGACACAGAAGGCTGGATGAGGGATATGACACTGGGGAGGGCGAGGATACGCAGGAGTCATATGGACCGTGGAGGAGGTGAGATGAGGAGCTAA